GACTACACCAACTTTAATCGGGCTTGCCTAAAGGATAGCTTCCCTTTACCACTAATCGACCAGCTTATTGACGCCACAGTTGGCCACTCCCTCCTTAGCTTTATGGATGCTTACTCGGGATACAACCAGATCTTTATGCACCTTGATGACCAGGCCCATACATCCTTCATCACTGACCGTGGCCTCTACTACTACAAGGTTATGCCCTTCGGCCTCAAGAACGCCGGAGCTACTTATCAGCGTCTTGTGAACATCTTTGCCCCACTGATTGGCAACACCATATAGGTTTATGTTGATGACATGCTAGTCAAAAGTTGCACTACTGACCAACACATCTCCAACCTATCTGCCATGTTCACCATCCTGAAGCAGTATAAAATGAGGCTCAACCCTACGAAGTGTGCCTTCGGCGTAGCTTCGGGAAAATTCCTTGGCTTCATGATCAGTCAGCGGGGTATTGAAGCTAAGCCAGAAAAGATTTAGGTCATTTTAAAAGAAAATGACCAAAATACCCTTATCCCACGGGTAATTTCTCAATTCCACTTAAATTAATTAAACATTGGATAAATTTGGGGTCGGGGTGTTACATCTAATCTCGTTAATTCATATAACTTGACAAGCAGACCTACACGTCCCATACCATGCTTATACCACTTGGTCCCGAATGCCCATTTATATGAACTAACACTCATTTCAACCATCTCATAATTCTCCTTTTGTTAGTCATCTTGTCTAACTCCCTGTCGTCAGTCCCGAACACCCAAAAATCATGTGCACAGTGGGATCCCTGAGACCTGGTACCTGCCAAGAGTTAGACTCAACTACACAAAAGACTATATCCATTACCCTCTTTTCCATTATTATCTTCTCCACCCAACAACTCCAACCAATTACCATGACATGATATAATTATGCCAACATTATTCAAATAGTTCACTATACATAAATATCTCATATCAAGAACATTATACAATATCACAATTAATAGAGCTCACGAAATTTAATTAGATTAATCCCCGTAAAGGCCCCCAAGAAACCCCTACCTTGAACGTAAGATAACTCTACAATCCAACACCTTGAGTTCCTCCAAAGGCTTTCTTGTTTAACGCTTTCTAATATTTTTCCTCCTCTTTCCTCTCTCTATCACTTTCTTCTTCTATCATGCGTTACCATGCATGTCCTAAAAACTAAGTTAAGGAAATGATTCCTATTTATAGTACAATAAGAGTCGGCTAAAGATGATATAGGAGGGAAAAGTCGGCATATCAACTAAGTGGTGTCAATTGGCATGTGCATATGACTGTAATGCTGCCAGCTATAAGAAATTATAGCAGGAGGTGTTCAAAGCTAAGTAAACTCAAGATATGCAGATGACAACTCACAAGGTGATTGTGCTCCTTGCTTGGCTATAAAAAAATGGACATGTATATCACTAATATCAATCAAAGTTGATCACTACAAACCATAACTTAGCCACCAAGTATTAATAACATGCAGGAGTTGCAACGAAAATAAAACATATCTAGATATTTATTTAGAGTATATATTTATTAGTGATAATATTTATGAAAGTATAGCACGTAATTTTTTATATGTACATATATATATATATATATATATATATAGACTTAACTATCTATGTTAATAACTAAATATTCCCCTATATATATATATATATATATATATATCAAAATGTGGTTTCACAACTATCCCACCTGGCTAGGCAATGTGGTGATGGTACGTAAACCAAAGAAAGGATGGCGCATGTGTATAGACTACACCAACTTTAATCGGGCTTGCCTAAAGGATAGCTTCCCTTTACCACTAATCGACCAGCTTATTGACGCCACAGTTGGCCACTCCCTCCTTAGCTTTATGGATGCTTACTCGGGATACAACCAGATCTTTATGCACCTTGATGACCAGGCCCATACATCCTTCATCACTGACCGTGGCCTCTACTACTACAAGGTTATGCCCTTCGGCCTCAAGAACGCCGGAGCTACTTATCAGCGTCTTGTGAACATCTTTGCCCCACTGATTGGCAACACCATATAGGTTTATGTTGATGACATGCTAGTCAAAAGTTGCACTACTGACCAACACATCTCCAACCTATCTGCCATGTTCACCATCCTGAAGCAGTATAAAATGAGGCTCAACCCTACGAAGTGTGCCTTCGGCGTAGCTTCGGGAAAATTCCTTGGCTTCATGATCAGTCAGCGGGGTATTGAAGCTAAGCCAGAAAAGATTTAGGTCATTTTAAACATGAAGATACCCAAGACAGTCAAGGACATCCAGAGCCTTACCGGACGCGTCGCGGCCCTGACCAAATTTATCTCTAAGGCCACTGATCGCTGCGCCCCATTCTTCAAGGCATTTAAGGGCAACAAGCGAAACATCACCTGGACTGCCGAATGTAACAAGGCTTTTAGCGAGCTCAAGGAGTATATGAGCCGGGCCCCTTTATTGTCAACTCCTGAGCCTGGGGACATCCTTACGATGTACCTCTCCGTCTCGGCCACCGCAGTTAGCTTAGTTCTCATCCGCCCCCACGAAGGTGCTGAACATTCGGTGCACTATGTTAGCAAGGGATTGCAAGATGCTGAGGTTCGGTATCCAGACATCGAGAAGCTGGCCTTTGCTCTAGTGGTGTCAGCCAAACGCCTTAGACCATACTTCCAAGCTCACACCATCCATGTCTTAACAAACCAGCCACTAAGGCAAGTACTGCAAAAGCTAGAGACTTCTGGCAGGTTGGTCAAGTGGGCTATTGAGCTGGGTGAATTTGATATCCACTACAAACTTCGCCCAGCTACGAAGGGCCAGGCTATTGCTGACTTCATATCAGAATTCACCAAACCCCAAGCATTGGCCGTTCCCCAGATCATAACTGAACCCAATCCTATCTCGAGCCAGGTCCACGTCGCCAGCAATGACACCCTCGACCTGACCTAGCCCTTGTGGACATTATATGTGAATGGCTCCTCTAATGCCCAGGGATGTGGGGCCGGCCTCGTTCTCATCTCTCCAAACAAAGTTGTCCTTAAGTACGCCCTCCGCTTCAAATTTCACGCCTCAAACAATGTCGCTGAGTATGAAGCACTCTTAGTTAGCCTTCGGCTAGTCAAGGAGATGGGTGCTAAGCAAATTCAGATATTCAGCGACTCCTAGCTCATTGTCCATCAAGTCAACCAGGACTTCACTGCCAAGGACGTCTCTATGACAGCCTACCTCCAACATACCCTCCATCTGCTTACAACTTTCGACGCTTATCTCATAAGCCAGGTGCAACGCTCTAAGAACAGTCATGCTGATGCTCTGGCTAGGTTAGCCTCGGCCATAGAGCAAGGCATCGGTTGCAACATCCACATGGAGTTCTTGGATCAGCTCAGCACACAAGCCCTGTTCATCTATACCATTGATCATAGCCCTACATGGATGGACCCCATCATTCAATTCTTGCAAAATCAAACACTACATGTTGATTCTGCTGAAGCATGATGTGTTCGCTACTACTCCGTTAGATACTTGATCATCAATGATGCTCTATACAAACGCGGCTTCAGCCTCCCCTACCTTCGGTGTCTGACTCCAGAAGAAGGTAATTATGTCATTTGGGAGATTCATGAGGGCATATGCGGCAACCAAGCAGGCGCTCACTCACTAGCCCATAAGGCCATTCGCCAAGGATACTTCTGGCCATCACTTCACACCGATGCCCAGTCCTTCACCCATAAATACGACAAATGTTAGCGATTTAACAACATCCCACAACTTCTAGCTGAACCATTGACAGTCATGGTCAGTCCTTGGCCATTTGCCCAATAGGGACTTGACCTCATTGGACCTATGCCTGAGGGCAAAGGTCAGGTCAAGTATGCGGTTGTAGTTGTGGACTACTTCACCAAGTGGGTTGAAGCTGAAGCCTTGGCCACCATCACTACATCTCGCATCGAAACGTTCGTTTGGCAGAATATTATATGTTGCTTCGGCATCCCCAACTCCATCATCACAGACAACGGCCGGCAATTTAACAATGCCAAGTTCAAGCAATTTTGTTCCAACCTCAAGATACGTCTTTGCTTCGCCTCCCTAGCCCATCCTCAGTCCAATGGCCAGGTTGAAGCTGTGAACAAGATCATCAAGAAGACTCTAAAGATCAAGCTTGACAAAGCCAAGGGTTGCTGGCCAGAACTACTCCCAGAAGTTCTTTGGTCCTACAGCACCACCTTCTGTACCTCCACAGGAGAAACACCGTTATCTCTTTCCTTTAGTACTGAAGCTGTGACACTAGTGGAGATCGGCCAACGCACATACTGAACCTCTACTTATGATGCCGAAGCCAGTGACGAGAAGTTAGCCCTGAACCTCAACTTCATTGACGAGCTTCGTGACCAATCCACCATGTGCAATGTCGCATACAAACAGCGCATTGCCAAGTACTATGACTCCCGAGTCAAACTCCGTGCTTTCAAAATTGAGGACTGGGTCATACGCAAGGTTTCCTTGGCCACCAAGAACCCCACTGAAGGTACCTTGGGCCCTACATAGGAAGGTCCTTATGAGATTACCAAAGTCTGCCGCCCTAGCGCTTATTATCTTTGTGATCCCAAGGGCAAGACTTTGTCTCATCCTTGGAACGCAGATCACCTCAAGTACTATTATAAGTGAACACACCTAGACCCTAGGGCATTATGTTTTCTTAGACTTTAGCCTTGAGCCTTGCCTCAACCATTTCTTGTATTTTCTGCCTTTCGACACCTATTTAATGAAACGCCCGACTCTGGCTATTTCTCATCAATCACATGATTATCATTTTGCTAGCACAACTGATATTAAATGACAACAAGTCTAATATCATAACAAATCAAAATAATCTTGCCCTAAGAAAGGCAAAATGTTCATACAAAGCATAAATAAACAAAATGTTCCAAACAAATAACTAAAGTACATAAAGAAAGTAATGCCTTCAAGACTCGGTAGAAGGCGTTCTTCTCTCGGATGGCCTCCTGCGTCTCCGCTATTTTGTCTTTAGCCATCTCATTGCACCTCTTTACTCTCTGGATCTCTTTATCTGCCTTGGCCATATTCACGTACATCTTGCCATAGGCCTGCAACACAAAGCATCATCAGTTAGAAGCAAACTATAATGATAAGAACAAATTTACAAAGCAAGACAACTTACATAGGAATGGGTAAGGAACGTCTTCTGGGCCAGATCTACATAGGACGAGGCCGATGTCCTGGCCAAAACCTCGGGATCACTCTTCACGCCTTCCAAGAAGACGTTCATTAAGGAAACCTCATGCCGATGCATGGCAAGGTTTACCTCATTCTTCTGCCGACGTAGCCTAGAGAAGTCCACCTACTCCACCCCCTCGACATAACTGTCCTCCATACCGAAGGGGAGCTTCGGCGGCGCCTGCAGGTCAAAGAGAGGAAGCCTCGGCCCTGTTCCCATCACACTCTGGTGAGCTTCCTCCAGCGCTCTCTTCTTAACCAGCACATCAGCAACCAAGCCTTCATTGTCATCTCTAGGATGCTTACCAGTAGTCTGCTTGGCACCTTCCTTCTCAGCCTTCTGCGCCCGAGACTCCCTAAGCCGTCTCTGCATCTCGGCATCATCTAGATCCACATCCACCTTCGTGTTTCCCTTTATGATACTTGCCACTGCACACCAAAAGCTAAGTTAGTCACAACTACAAAAAGAAATCGGAAGACAAATAACAAAGGTGACCTAAGTACTGACCTCCTTGCAAAAGGCTGGATTCAAGCAGATTCTTCTGAGTGACTAGGTTTTTACACTCACGCTCAGTCTTTGATAGCAGTGATCTCACCCTCTCAACTTCGTCGTCTTGCTCCTTTGAGATTGGCTCCTACTTCACCGAACCTGCACCAAAGGTTAGATACTACTCAACCATTTACACTTGCATAAGCAAAAATGGAGAATCAAGAGTCAAAGCAAGTAAAAAAAACACGACAAAACAATAATCAGTCTTAAAGGATGGGGCCAAGGACTTATAGACTGGAAATGAGTAGGAATGTGTTTGGAGACGGTCTTTCCTGGCTGACAATCCCAGTCACCATAAGTCAGGAACCACCTGTTCCTCTAAGACTTCTGAGTAGAAGGCTTGTAACCAATAAAGTAACCCTTCTCCTTGGCCTTTGGGCAATTGGCCTGTACCCAGCCAAAACTTCCCTGTTGCTTGGAGATCGAGTAGAGATACATAAACTGCTCAAATGTTGGCTCCCTCAACCCAGCCAACCGCCAAGCAATATAAACCCCATGAAGAAGAAGCCAAAAGTTGGGATTATATTGCCCCGACGCATATCCCAGCTTGGCCAACATCATCTGTACCTAAGGATGAAACGGTAGTCTAAAGCCATGTTAGTACATATCAGTAAATATCAACACGCATCCCTCCGGAGGATATCTAACCACATCAGCAGCACAGGGTAACCTCAAGCCCACCGAAGGTGGGACACTAAAATTTGTCGGAAGCTCTGCCAGCTGTACCTCTGTAAGTATATTACGCCTTGACAAAGGGACACCAACCCATATATACACCCCATCTGAAGCTAAGGCCACGACTACACCCATAGACCCTGACGGTGATGCCTGATTGCTCGAGCCCACATCTGGTGTATGAGGCAAGGCTAGAACCAGATCAGCCACAACTTCTAACACTTTGTAATTCCTTTGCATCTCCCTATAATCGGCCTCCAAGGAGTCTACTGATGGCTCACCTCTCACCCTTATGCACTACCATTTTATTTTCTATCATACCTTCTACCACACCTCTGTCTGGGAACTCTCATCTTCATAACAAACATATTGTTGGTTGGGCTCTTCACTCGCAGTATCTTCCCCACCAAAGGCAGAGAGGTCATGACTTTCTTTATCAGAACTTTCAGACATCTACAATTTGTAAAAACAAGGCAAGGGAACTAATGCACATGCAAGAAGGATCGAAAACACAAGAACACAAAAAGGAGGACACACCTACATGCTCTTTGATCTAGAAGCATACATTCAACAAGTTCATACCAATGTTCAAAGTGTTCATCATGTTCATACTCATACTCAAGGTGTTCATCCTAGCCTTCAACATGTTCATACAAAAACGGACATTTCAATTCAAAAGTTCAAAGGAAATGAGGTTTAACCTTGTTTGCACCACCACGTAAAGACGCTGGAAATCACCTTGGCCACAAGCTCCACCACCAAAATCTCGCCGAAAATCTCCTTTTCTCCTTCTCACTTTCTAAAAATTTTTCTCCGTCACCCCAAGTTCCTATTTATAAAGCCTCAAGGGTACTAACGCCTCAGTTCACAAGCAAACCGTAGCACCCTTTCATCTTCCCTCCAAACACCCTTGTACCTACACACAATTTGAAATAAAAAATTCAAAATCCAAAAACAAAAAAAACGGCGAAGGGAAGTTGAAAGGACCTTGCCGAACGGCAAGGCCCATGCGCAAAGAAATTGGGGCCTCAAAAATTTCTACCTTAACGAAGGCCCAGCCCCACTTCCCAGAAGAAAAGGCCCAGCCCAAGGCTTATGAATCCAACTTCACAGCCCAGCTCTTGCCAAAGATCTAATGGCCCAGGCCGTGCGCACAAGGCTGAACCCGGTCAAGCCAAACCCTACTGAAAACCATAGAGCATCTCACAGTGTATTCAAAAATATCATTCCAGAAGGGCCCTGCCGAACGACAGGCCCAATGGAGAAGCAAACGGGAGACTCACATAAAAATCCTTACCAAGTGTATAACCCGATCTGCCCAGCTCCAATTTTCCCTCCGGGCTAAACATCAAAACAAGGGCAAATCAGTCACATAAACACTTGGAATGGCCTTGCCGAACGGCAAGACCCGTGCAGAAAGATATAAAGGCCCTTACGAAAAATCCAAAGGGCTTAGCCTGACGCTATCACTTAGAGGCCCAAATAACTATGCCTAGCTCCTACAGCCAAGCTCCCAAATCAATACCGAAACCTCAAGGCCTTCTTGCTGGAGCTCAAACGAGCTGGACCTGACACCGAAAAACAACAAAGGAGTCAAGAGCTTCTGCTACACTCACCCTTGCCGAACGGCAAGGGCCATGCCCGGGTACAATCTCGTACTAACATTATCACAAAGTCAAAGCAAAGGACACTTACCAAAGCAGCACCCTTGAGGAACGGCAAGAGTTGGCCAGAAGGGAATAAGGCTCAAAAAGTGTACTCGCACCAAAGCTTCAACACCTCACGGACCCAGGCTCTTGTCAATGTACTGAATGACAATATTTATGCTCAGTCCGATGGCCTCCTTGCTCAGCCCAACTTGGAAAATTCACGACATCAAGATGACGACCTAACGTGCTCAGCCCAGCTCCAACTCTTCGAGAGACCCAAACCAGCCGACTCAGGTGGCCCCCAATTTTTCCCCCAAGCTGCTCCTGCTGATCGGCAGGCTTAAGTCAGCCCCTTCACGAAATCACGAAGTCACAATGCAAAACCAGCTCCTAGCAACCAACACATAGCTCTCACGCAAAAGAGACTTCAGAAAAATTTCAACCCTCCATTGCCTTTCGACAAGGGGAAAGCGGAAGCACGCGGGGACTTACGAAACCAAGAAGACCTCAACTTTCCAATGGATCTTGCCGAAGGATGTTGACGTAGGGAGCTGAAGCCAAACTGAGACTCGATGTCAAGCTAAGGAAGACTTGCAGAACCGCAGACAACATGCTAGCCCCCTTGCGGCTGGGGTCTCTTCGCACGCTCCTTCAAAACCCTAGCACTTCACTTACCTAAGCCCACAAAAACACAGGCCCAGCCTTTGTTGCTAAAACTCCCCCTTATCGAAGCCTAACTTAGGCATTCTTGGCACGCATTGTTGAAAGACAGATGTCATGGGCATTGCCCACAAGCCCACCAAAAACCCGTGGAACATGTATTTTTGAAGCCTCTTTGCCGAAAGTACATCCCAACCCAGAAGTTACTTCTTAACCGCAAACTTGGGGGATTACTGTTTACACCATAACCAACCGAGCATATCCAGCATCAAAACAACTAGCACCAAGGCAGACACGCCTTTTCCATTCTCCCCTGCCGAAGGAAGACACTCTTCCAAGGTGCCAGACACCTGCCGAAGCTCCCAAACAGCTGAACCTAATCTCCAAGACACGTGTCACCACCACAACGTCTTGCACAAAGTCCAAGACACGTGTCACCACCACAACAACTTGCACAAAGTCCCACATCGAAACTTTGTACAAACCACCAACTTTCACTTCCTTATAAATAGGGAACAGTACCCAAGTTAAAGGGGGTAACTTTTCTATCACTTTTATTGTTACTCTGCCAATTTTACCACCCTTAGCTGACTTAAGTATCGGAGAACCTTCGGCCGGCACCACACCGGTATCCGAAGCTTAACGATTGCTTCTCGTACTTTGTCTTCTGCAGGCTCTTCCCTTACTGAAGGTCCTCACCTTCTCCACCGCTAAAGACAACCCCCTTTTCTCTAAGTTGACATCCCAAAAAGAGTATCAACAAAAGATTTTAAAGCCATCAGTGCATTTCACTTGACACCCATTTATCCAATGCGTGCATGCAACAATCAATAGCTAACCCCCCCTCTCCCTAACCCACCCAAACAAAGTAAGATTTTGTTGAAAATAGCACCCATCATTGTGAATTCATTTGGGTACCAAAAGCTTACTCAAGCATATAATGTCTTCATTCAAAATGTACATAGCTTCAAAACCTAAATACTAAGGAAAGAAACACTACAAAGGGATCAATGGTTGAGTTCAGTGAATCATCCACTTACCAAATTATGTCCAGACGTTGGAGACTAACAGCTAGAACAAAGAGGAAAGTTGCATGTCTAGGTTTTACAGGAATGAAACGACAGTCATTGCTAGAATGGAACGGCAGCAAACCATATAGCTGCTTCAAAAGAAAGAAGAAGTATCTTGAAGGAAAAGGAATCGCTGCTTACAAAAACGCTTGGAGTCTGGGCATGGCCCAATTTGTATCTATGAAACGGGTAGCAGGTCATTTTTTTTACTTTCGAGATCATTTCCCAAGTAGTGTTTTTTTTCCTTATAAAACGATACTCTAATGTGCGGACAAGGGAATGAAACTCGAATACAAAGGAACAGACATACAGTTTTAGCAAACTTCTAACCCACGTCGGCTCCAGTTTATTAGGATTGAAAATAAAATTGAATTGATAAGTTTAAAAGGGAATCAATATCCCTGAACTAGTTGATAAGTTTACACCATCCACAACATCAATTACCAAAGCAAGTCTCTTCTTGTCTCAAATTCTCAAAACTTGATGTTTTAATGTGTCTGCTCAAAACTTGATATTATCAATATCTCACATCAATTACACCATCCCAAATTTGGTGATGGTTTGCTCAAAACTTGATAGAGAAGGATGTTTTTAATGTTTCACGTTTTCTTCAGGAAAAAAACATTTTGTTTCTATATTTACCTTTTAATTATTTTAATTATAATGGGAATACTATTTAATAATGTTTCAATGAACAAGAGACTGAAGAATAACTAAACTCAAAAACAAAAACAAAAACAAAAAATTTAAAAAAAAAGGTTTAACTTTTAACTCTTTTTTTTTTCTTGATCAAGATAGGTTTAACTTAAACTTAAAAACACCAAGGTTGGTATGTGCTTTTTACTGAGTTGATTGACCACTAATAGCATTTCACATGGACGACCCTGTTGAAGAATATAAAGTCCCATATTGAAAACTTTAAAATAAATACAATATATAATGAGTGGTTCCACTACTAATATCACCGATGCCTTTTGTGATAAAACCTCACATCTACCGAGCTTTATAGGTAGTTAAGTTTGGGACAATATCGGTGTTGCTAGTAATAAGTCGCTACCACCTGGGATAATATCTCCAATCCAATCAAGTTTGGGTATGACCTCACCTGACCACCACACTAAACGAAACAAACCCCCACAAACGGGCTTTTGAAGCCCAATTCGAAAGTCGGATGTTCTAATGATTAATTAATTTCCTTAATTAATTATAGCCACAATCAATCAACTTCCTTAATCGTTCTAACACTACATGCAATGATGCAAAGATGTAGGCAGCAGCACATGATATCCATGCGCCCCCTGTGCATTCATCATTAATCTACACTTTTGATGCACTTAACCATGTGGTCCTTGAGCTTACTACAACAACTACTACTACCACTACCTAAGAGCCTTTCCATCCATGAGCCCAGCCCGAGGCTAGGGGAAAAAAAAAAAATTTGTGTTCCAGCGGAGCAGCCCAGGCCCGGGGGGGTGGGACCCATCAACTTGGGCTGGCCCGAAGGCAGCTTCAGCCCGAGGTCCAAAACGAGGGCTGCTGACGTCAGCGCTACAGTACCCGTTACAGTATCGCTACAGTACCCGTTACAGTATCGCTACAGTCCCCCCTACAGTACTGCTACAGTACCCCCACCCCCACCGATTTGATTTTTTTTCCTGTTGCCACATGGCGTCGTCTGAGCTCTCCGATCTGATTTTTTCCTCCAATCCAACGGCAGCCAATTTTTTTGCAATAAAATACTGGAAAAAATTCAGAAATTTTTTTAAAAAATACCCAAAAATTAATGAATTTTTTTCTATAAATACCAGCAAATTTTTTTTTAATTTATCTGAAATTTGAAATTGAAAATTTTATCCGATTATGAGATTTGAATAGTATTGACATGTAGGAACCCTAAAATCTAATCCTAAAATATTATCCAAATTAATTATTGAGGTAAAAAAAATTGTGAATAAAACAAAAAAATGAATAGTAACTGCCCTTAGCAAGGGCAACGGGTGGAAACACAAAATTCTGATTTGCAAGGGCAACCACTATTCACGTGAATAGTAGCTGCCCTAACTCCCCCCCCTTGTCATGGCTAAGGGCAAATGGGTGGAGTTGCTCTAATATGTGCTAATCCAAAATGAATTGATTTATTGCTTCGCCCGCCAGTAAACAATAGAAAATCAGTTTGCAAGGATTTTCTTAAGGTTCAATGTACGTTCAATTTTTAGAATTTCGGATTAAAGTATTATTGTGAATGCAATGGGACATTATTTGTTCCTTTAATATGTTTTTTTTTTTGTTTGAAAAAAAAACAAAGTTAAGAAGGGGAATGAGGAAACTCACACACACAGGTACCACAAGAACTTCAACAATCATATGGGAGCACACTAAAGCCCTGAACCAATCCAACTAACTTGGTAGTTCCTTTAATATGCAGATTGCAAAAATTGAGCATCTACAATCATGCTCCTTACTTTTTAGTTAAAATTTGGGTAAAAACACACAAAAGTTATTTTAAAAGCTCTCTATAAAATTTATACTCCAATCATACCGCGTAGTTTAGGATAAAAACTCAGTATCCCAAACCACTTAAATGCTGATAGTTGTAAGTTAGTTTTTATTTGCTTTTCCTCTTCCCTTCCATTCTCCTTGGCTTGCATTTTTCTTTCATGTTTTGTTTTGTTTCTGGTCTGAAGTTATGAACCTTTAATCCCCCCATTTTCAATTATATTTCTCTCCTCCATCCTCAGTTACACCTCGGCCACTCTCCTGCTTCAAATATTTCTAGAATTGTTATGGAAAACAAAAGCTTTTTGTAACCCAAAAACAAAAACCCCAAGCTTTAAAATTAAATAAATAAATAATTTCTTCTATGTCAACCCATGTAATTCATGTAGCCCTTCCCCCAAATCACAGTTCTCTTCCTCGGATTTCTTAACTTTCTTCTCTCTTTTTTGGGTTCATTTTGATGGATAGTGATTAACTCTTGGGCTTGGTTTCGTTATTGTGGCTTGGTTTCTTCTCTTTTATCAGCTCTGTGATTTGGAAGAGACTTAAGAATTGAGATTAAAAAGGGAGGGGAGTGCTGAGATTTCAGACCAGAAAAAGAAACGAAAGGGGTTGCAGGCTAGGGAGAACAGGAGGGAAGAGGTAAAAAGAAGAAAGAAATAAAAAAAGGGAGGAGGATTGCAGGCCAGGGCATACGAAAGGGGAGAGGTAAAGAGAAGTTAAAAAAGGAAAGAAAAAAAAAAGGAGAGTTGCGCGCCAGGGAGCAAAACAAAAAATGAAGGAGGTGCAAGCCGATGAGAGCGGAAGGGAAAGGGACATAAATACTACAGTTATTATTTTTTTAATTCAATATGATTGATCCATCTCTATTATTATCACAAAACATCCCTAACATTTGCAAAACTATCACATTGCATCCTTAAAGTTTTTTTGTATCACTCTTGGTCCCTAACGTTAATATAGATGCTCTTAAATAGTCATTCTGTCAAAAAAATTGTTAAATTCAGGAATATAATCATCAAATCAATCCAAAATTATAATATATATATATATTTTATTCCCTTCCATTCTCTCTTTCTGTGCTTTCTTCTTTCTCTCGGCCCGTTCTTATTTTCCTTCGCTGTTTCTTTTTTCTCTTTTTCTTCCTCTTTCCTTCTTTGGGAAAGCTTCACACTTAACCTCTCCAATGGCGACTGAAGCACCATAGCAAGCCCCCCAAGCCGATGGACTCCAATCTCTTTCAATTTCCGAGGCTTCACCATCCAGCTCTTCAAATCCAACCATCCAGTAAGCTTCTCTCGCTTTTCCTATCATTTTCTTATCGTTTCCAATTTTTTCCGTTGATCTGAACTTACTTCAAACTTGTGGGTGTGATTTGGAGAAGAATGCGTTTGGAGGAGAAGTACCAGATGTTGAGGAGCGTGGCAGAGGAATGTATTCAAGAGGACGAGCTTCGGAATTTGCTGGCTCATAAGTCCGAACCCATCGCCTAGGTCGAATGCATATTGCTCAGGTGTTTTTTTCAAATTTTCTTTAACAATCATAAAATTCATAACACATAATTGATGTTGATACTTTTTGTGGAGAGAAGATACTCAAATTGAGATTCTGCAGTGTGTTATTCTCGTGTATTGATTATTTGGATTGCAACGGACACTCTTGTGTTTTGAAAGAATAATTGTAGTAAGAAACTTAAGGGCATGTTTTCATTATATCATTGTGGTTCAAATGTGCTGTTGTGTAGGGAGTTATGAAGACGATAAATGTGAACAAGATGACCTCTGCTGGCTGCAGAGTGCAAATATGGATTGCAGATTGGTTTGCAATGCTAAACAATAAGATGGGGGGTGATTTGAAAAACAATATCATAATTAAACAACTACCAACTTTTCATACCAGAATGAAACACTAACAAGTCGCAAATATAGGTGTAGTGCAGAGGGAGTTTTACTCTGTAATTACTGAAACTACCCTACCCACCAGGGACATACATCTTTTGGCAGTGTAGACGACTGGGCAGAGAGGTTCTTCTTGGTTTGGATGGCCCACAAGGAGGACAAGCTAATTTGCTTCTGTTGGGTTTATGTGGGAAGAAATGAGGGACCTGAGAGAGTGGGAGCATTGCTGCAGAAGCTTCCATGGATAATTGAGAGAGAGAAAAGGAGAAAAAGAAGAAAAAAAGAAAGGAAAAAGAGAGAAACAGAGAGAGAGAGAAGAAGAGAAGAAAAGAACGGGCCGAGAGAAAGAAGAAAGCACAGAAAGAGAGAATGGAAGGGAATAAAATATATATATATATTATAATTTTGGATTGATTTGATGATTATATTCCTGAATTTAACAATTTTTTTGACAGAATGACTATTTAAGAGCATCTATATTAACGTTAGGGACCAAGAGTGATACAAAAAAACTTTAAGGATGCAATGTAATAGTTTCACAAACGTCAAGGACGTTTTGTGATAATAAGCCTTATATTACAGTACTTTGATTATTTTATACTAAAGCATATACGTTGATACCATGGTATTTTGGATTCACCGACTTTGCTAAGTAGGTTTGCTCATTCTCCATTATTCCAGATTTTTTTATATTATTTAAGACACGAATGTGCATTAATTTTAACATTTCTAATATTTTCTATGCAGTCGAAAAAAGGACTTGTTGAATGATCAAAACTTTTGGGATTCTTGAAGGACTTCGGACGTGTTCTGCATATCTCTTAGGATGGCTCCCCTTAGGAAGTTGGCGAATGCCAGGGCCCCCCTTAAGGGGCTCCGGGAGTGTTCTTCATATCCCTTACGATGGCTTAGTCGTCGTCCTGCGTCTCCCGAAGGACGCTACTTATGGGCAACTGTGTGACTATCCTGCCTCCCTTAGGAAACAGATAGGAACCTGGATACTTCCCGCAGGAGGCATGGAGACCTCCTTTTAAGAAATTCCTGGCGCACCCTGCGTCTCCCTTAGGACGCTTTTTTAGTGGGCTGCGTCTCCAAACGGACGCTTTTAGTCGTCGCCCTGCGTCTCCCTTAG